CACCAGAACATGCTCTGATAACCTTGTGTGATTTGCCCGAAATGCTCTCAGCACCTTTCTGGCTGAGGCTGTCTTGTATTAATGCATCGGGCTTATGTCCTAAGAACATCATGCTTGTTCTTTTGATCATGATACTTGCACTTAGAACATTTGGGGGGTTCAAAGAACATGTCGTGGTAGGCCTATACGAATGCTGGGTCGGTCGGTCCCTGCTCTAAGCACTGTCGGGGGAGCGTAAGACTCGTGTACGCCAGAACTGTTTTTTTTACTTTTCTTCACGGTCCGGTTTTCTTAGGACGTTTGCAGCGGGAGATCGCGTCAGATTTCAGACTGGGCCTCGTCGTTTTCATGATGCGCCCCGCCAGGCCAACCCGAGTCTTTCGTCTCCCCAACACGTGGTGCCAGCGAGCAGGGGCGGGGGGCTAGGTCCGAGGTTTCGCCACGGGGTGCTAAAGGTGACCCTGGCCCAAGATGCCCCCAGCTCTTCGCTCCATTTTGGAGCCCCTGGGGCCCTCTGGACCTCGTGAGGGGTGCTCTGGAGGCCGTCGGGGCCGCCTTGGAAATCCTGGGGGCACCTTGGGCCAGGGGCACCTCTGGCAGAAGACTAGTTTGGGCTCGAGAAGTTTTTGTTGTTGCTGCCTTCCCCGGTCTTCGAAGGGGCCGCTCTCGGGCCCCTGGGGCCGTTCACGAAAACGGATCCGGGGTGCAACGTTGCGCCAGGTGGAGGAGGAGGAGGAGGAGGAGGAGGAGGAGGAGGAGGAGGAGGAGGAGGAGGGGGAGGAGGAGGAGGAGGAGGAGGAGGAGGAGGAGGAGGAGGAGGAGGTGGACCCCAGGAGGGGTCCGGGGACAGATGTCTCGTGGATTTGCCCTTGCAGTCGGCCAGCACAGCAAGGGTGGGCAACCTTCCCAAGGGTACCCTTTCATCCCTTGCCTCCTCGGCCCATCCTCGGCCACTTTCGTGGGCCACGCCCCGCTCGAGAAGCTTCGGCGTGGGCGTCCAAGGCCCTTGGCATCCTCCTCGCGCAGCCTCGCCTTGGGCCACCTCCTCGGGGCCCATGCCGGTCAGCCCCCCCGGCCGCCTCCAGGCGCGAAGCACCCTCCGATCCCAGCGCCGTCTTGAAGACGCCCCTCTCGGCGTTGTCTCCGGCCCCCGGAGGCCTCGCCCCGCTGGGGTCCCGCAGGACGGGCGCAAACACAGCTCAGCACACAACGCCGGCCCTGGACAGGGCGTCGAGATTTGCAATCGTTTTCTTTTTCATTGTTTTGCCGCCGGGCACCCCTCCCTTCCCCCCCCCCCTCCCGATGGAGTAGATCTTGGCTGTTTTGGGCGCCTGTTTCGAGCAAGGTGGACGGCTCACCATAGGATTCCCCATTGGAGTACTGCTCCAAACAGTCTCGCTAAGCAGAGGTCCGGAGCCGGGTCCCCCCCCTACCTCCCCTCCTTCCGCTCAATGTCGAAGCGCCGAATCAGAAACACGCTGCGCCACGAGAAAACTGCGACGCCAGAGGAGTGGCCACCCGAAGAGGCGCGAAGAGGATCGCGCTTCGAGCGTCGCGGTCTGGGCCGGGGAGCTGCTCTTCCCCAAGGCCCTCCCAGGGCACGAAGATGAGACCTCGCGCAGCGCACCGCGGGGCGCGAGGCGCGAAGCTCAGTGGCCCAGAGAACCCTCACATCCAGGCGAGGCGCCGCGGAAAGAGCACGGCGTGCAGACGCACTGACAGCGACGATTACCAGAGCCTGCTCTGGCACAGCCCGAGGTGCTTCACGCTCTGAGGACGCTTCCGCTGTCCCCGGCCCTCTCCCCCTCCCCTTCCGCCTTTCCTTCCGCCTTGGTGCTTACCTCGCTCAGCAGCAGCCCTGCCGTGGCTTGGCCGCAGCTTGGATCCAAGGCGCCGCCGTTCAGGCAAGCTCTGCCGTGCTGCCTCGGGCCCAGGCAGCCCCAGGCGCACCCCTGGATCGGCCCGGCTCGAGAGATGCCGCGGACAGATGGTCGAGAGCTCTGGTCGTGCGTGGTCCTGGCGCCGTGTTTGGGGGGTCCTGGCGCGGGATCTTTGGGAAGGAGGTGGGCGTGGCAGGGGCTTCGGGGGGAGCTGCCCCCCTCTCGAGATCCGTGCGCGCGCGCGCCCCTGCCTTTTCCCCATGAACCCGCCGAAAGCGCCCGTGCACCACCATTCAAGGGAGGAAAAACCAGCCGGACCCGATAACCGGCGTTCACTAAACAGCCCTGGGCGTTCACTGAACAGCCCTGCCTTGTTCGATTCCATCTGTGCGTGCGTTTACTGAACGGCTTCGCGTTTCGAGGTGGTTCTATTATGGGGGTGGATTTTCTGCCCTCTAACCATACCTTGGCCAGGGCCATCCTGGGCCCTGGGATGGCGCACGTACGGTCGGACCGAGGTGTAAGATCGGGTTCGTTCCGGGGAGGGTGCCCTCATGTTCTTCGTGTTTGTTGGCTGTGCTTGTGCCTTCGAGTGATCTTATGGCTTGGGGCGCATTGGCCTGCGGAGGGCCTCTCATGTTCCTGAAAGGTGCTCTGCTGTCCCAGGTCCAACCGCACGTGACCTCCTGGCCTCGAAGGGGAGGGCGTCTACACCATAGGTGGGCGCACGACGGTGGTGCCTAAAAGTGCCTTCTCCGTACCGAGCCATCCACTCCCCCGCGCCCTCCAAGGAACGGGGGGTGCGCTTCCTCAGCTGGGATCGGCGCCACCCCAACATACCAATATATGTATATACACACATGAACATATATACACATATCTATTATATATATACGTATACATATATATATATATATATATATATATATATATATATCTTGTGCGTGCACACTTATGCTGACGTGAAAAGACGCCACGCGGTACTGCAAAGAAAGCCACCTGCAGGATGATCCAAGGGCCCTCTGAGCTGTGAGTATGACATCTGTTTACAGAGCGGTTTTCTTAGGAAAAAGCTCCGGGGGGGAAATTCTGTACAAAACAATCGTTTTGTACGGAATTTCCCCCCCGCCTGTTTTTCCAGCGCTGTTTGCGCGTCCTCTCGCACCACTCTCATGAACGCAATGGCATTTCAATGTAACAGCTTAGAAGTAGCTTGCATCACTTGTTTCTGCAGTCTGTACGCTTTCCTCCTCCGTACTCGTTAGGGCTCGAACTTTTCTGGGGAGAGTTGGGGTCCGTGCATGGCCGCTCCTGGGCACCACCGGCAGCTGGCGCTGGTGGCTGCGCCCGGCTGGGCGGCCCTGGGCTGGCACTTCCTCGAGCAGGCGTTGCCCGGCGCGGGATCAGCGGCTGCTGCGTGGGCCGCGGGCGGGCTGAACTGTCCTGCGTGCAATATCACCTGCCCGGCTTGCCCTGCGTGCGAGCCGGCCCTTTGCTCGTGCCCGGCCTGTCCGGCGTGCGGGCCAGCGCCGCCCTGTGCGGTGTGCCCGGGGTGCGAGAAGCCCCCGCCGTGCCCGCCTTGCCCGGGGTGCCCAGAGGCGCCCCCTGCGTGGGCCTTCGCGTTGGGCCCTCTCGGCACGGTGGTCCTCCACCTTGCCGTCCGCTTCAACGAGTGCCTGCGGGACGGGTGCCGTCGCCGCGGGCGGGGGCGCGCCGAGGCGGTGGCCGGCGCGCGCGAGCAGGCCGAGGTGGTCGCCAGGGCCCGTGAGCAGGCCGAGAGGGCCCGGCAGCGGGCCGCGCTCCAGTTCAGGTCGGCGCCCGACGCGGGTCCCGCATCGACCCACTCGCCGGAGTGATGGCGGCGCCCGGAGACTACATCTTGTTGTTCTACAACGAGCCTGGGCAGCCCCTTTATCATGAGGCTTTGGTGACAGGAGTCTCGGTTGCGACGCCGACGACGATCACGATGGCGACGCCAGACGGGGACCACTACCCCCAGAGCATCGAGATCGGCGACGACGTGCTCGAGGTGAGATGGATCGGCATGCAGGGGGCGACCCCGCCAGGAGTCGATGCTCGCCACGTGTATCGGTTCCGGCAGGTGCCATCGGCACAGGTGCTGCGGCAGTACTACTGGGACGCGGCGCTGATGCTCGGCAACATCGCGCCACCGCCGGCTTTGCAGCAGAGGCAGAGGCCAGCCCCAGGTGCGGAGTTGGCGGCGGCTCCCCGAGCCGTCCCCGCGGGAGCGGCGGCGGCGGCAACGCCGCCAGGCCGCCTCTGGGTGTACGCCGAGGATTGCGAGGGCCATCGGCGAGGCGATGCAGTCGGGGCGCTGCCAGCCGACGCGGTGACGATGGGAGACCACGGGCTCGTGCAGCTCCAGGAGGGGACCGCCTTCATACAGATGGTCGAGCGGCGCAATCTGGAGCAGTATGTCATGGAGGACCTCCGCGTACTGCCAGTGAAGTTCGACGGCACTGGTCAACGTCGCCGCCCCTTCGCCGAGTCCGTCCAGAAGATGGCGGGAGAGGAGCCGGAGGGGGGGCTCGATCTGACCGGGCCGAGGATTTGCTTCAACCGTTTGCAGCAGCTCGCCGTGTCCAGCCAGACGCCGATCACGCAGAGCGAGCACTGGCGGCACGCGGCTCGGATTCCGGACGGGGACCGCAGCCCGTACGAGCACGAGGCGCTCTCCCACATCATGGAGGCGATGTGCACGGTCGACCAGTTGAACGCGCCGGCGTTGAAGTCGGCGGAGCTGATCAGCCGGCGTCTCCAGCTGATCGAGGACGCGCACGCCTCTGGCGGCATCGCTGATTACAGCGCGGCGGACCACTACATGGGCTGGTCGACCAGGCGGTCCGGGGCCATCCCGGACCCAGGTCTGCGGAGCCACGTGGCCGAGCAATTTCGCGGGGAGGCAGCCGTGGCCAAGGAGATGAGGAAGGCCAAGGAGGAGCAGCGCCTGCGCAAGCAGAACCCAAACAGGAAGAAGAACGACGACATCGGAAATGGCTAAGTCTATGGCTGGCCTCGGGGGCGGGAGAGCGCCGACCCGTCCCGACAAGCAGGCGCTGCATCAGAATTCATTCCCGAGTCATGTGGGGGCTCGTCACGATGGGCGACGACATCGGCCTCGGGAACTTTTTCCCCTTCCACCTGTGCCAGCGGAGCCAGCTATCCGCCCGGGCACGCCTGGTTACCTTCGTCGGCGACTACTGCGACGTGCGGGAGTCCAGGAGAGGGCAAATGAAGTGCTCGAAGTTTTGAATGAGATGGCCGGCGCGGCTCCTGGGGCTTCGGCCACGGCCAGTCCGAGTCTCGCCCAGCTTGCGTCTCAGAGCTCCGTCCTCCGGAGGGTGGGGCAGCTGCCATACAACGAATCCTTGTACACCAGGCACGGGGCCTTCAATGAGCTCATGCCCGCTGTGATCGACTACGCGGGAGTCGATCAAGCCACTGCCGTCAGACCTTACCAACGCTCTCTGGTATCCATACCCGTAGCTGGTGCGCCCCCAGTGCCGCTCAGTGCCGCGTGCGGGAGGCCGGAGAGGACTTTGTTGGAGCGGTCGGATGAATTCATGCTGTCAGACCCAGATGACGTTGGATGGCAGATGGGGTCAGGTACGCCTCAACAGCTCTACATGGACGAGGTGCTGCGCAAAGATCGGTCAGCTTACGTTGGCTTCATCGCAGACGTCCTGGGTGCTGGGCTGGTGGACTTCTCTGTCACCCCAAAAGAGATATGCACACCGTTCTTCGTCGAGAAGAAGAACAAGAATCTTCGGCTCATCCTGGATTGCAGGTGGTCGAACTTGCACTTCCGCCCAGCGCCCAGCCTCGACATGGGGACGGGCGCGGCCTGGGCCCGCGTCGAGCGGCCCGCCGGCGACCATGACCTATATTTCGCCGGGGCCGACGTCAAGGATTATTTCCACAGCCTCGAGTACTCCGCCGAGCTCAAGGATTACTTCTGCTACCCCTCCCTGACCTTGGAGGAGTTTGAGAGGGGCTTCGTAGATTGGCCCGGGGCCGAGGAGTTGCTGTCAATGGCGCGCCGCTCCGGCCTTCGGGAAGTGTGGCCGAGGGCTGTCACCGTCCCAATGGGATGGTCCTGGGCGTTCTTCCTGGGGCAGAAGGCTTTGGAGAACCAGATTTCAGTGGCCCTCCAGGGGCGGCCCCACGGGCAGCTCCGCGACGCCGGGCCACTCCCTGACATCCTGGGCGGGGTGGGCGTTTTGCCGTACTGCGACAACCTCGACGTGTACGGCGTAAGTCGCGAGGAGGTGCAGCAGGCCAAGAATTTGGTAGTGGGCCAGCTTCGCCGCGTCGGCTTCAGGGTTCACGAGGAGACCGACGCTTCGACCGACCACGAGAGCCTGGGCCGGAAGCTGGACGGCGCCCGCTGGCTGGTCATGAACAAGCCGGAGCGGGCGGCTCGCCTGCAGCGGGCGTGCCGGCATTTAGAAGGCTGCCGTCGAGTGACTGGTCACATGGTCAGGCGGTGGCTCGGCCATGTCGTGGATCACTTCCTCATCATGCGGGAAGGTTTGTCGTGCCTCAGGAGAAGGTCGGCGGGCAGTGGGCCGAGCCTTGGGCCTCTGTCAGGAAGGAGGCGAGGTGGGTGAGGGTGCTCACTTACCTCTGCGCGGCCGAACTGTCCCGCGAATGGCACCCTGAGGTCCTTTGCACTGACGCCTGCGAGAGCGGGATTGGCGTTGCTAGTCGCGCGATTCCAGTGCAGGAGGTCGCGAAGATCGGTTGCATATCAGAGCGTTGGAGATATCGGGGAAAGCATCCTCTCCATCAACCTCGTCGCAATGCCGTGGGGCCACGGGACCCCTTCAGGGACTTCGATACCGTGATCCCCATGGGCCCCGGGGGCGAGTTGGAGATGCTCGAGGGGAACAATAACTTCCAAGAGGTACCGGAAGGCATCACTGACCAATCCAAGCGGCACGTCATTTTATCGACGAGGCTTCATCGGGAGGAGGGGATGCCGACGAAGGAGGGCCGGGCCACGCTGCTGGGGATGAGGTGCAAGCTTCGCCATGCAGGGGCTTTTGGAAAACGACATTTGCTTCTGGGGGACCAGCTGGGGAACACTGTGGCTTTCGAGAGATCCAGGGCTCACAGCTATGCGATCCTCACTCTTGTTCGTCGAGCCTCCGCCTTCGCCATTGCCACCGGCTTGAGCCGGTACTTCCGGTGGGTGCCGTCCGAGAGGAACGCGGCAGATGCACCGTCGCGGCGATGGGAGAGAAAAGCGCCGGCTCCGGCCTGCCGAGGGCGCCGCGGGGGCCCCGCCTGGCGCCGGCCGCCGAAGCCGCCCGGCCTTGGCGCTGACGCAGCGCAGCCAGGGGGCGGGCCCCGCGGTCCACAGGGGCCTCCGCAGGGCGCAGCCGCCAGCGCGGCCGGCCAGCCAGGTGGCCACGAGGCGGGCTACCACGCTGCCCCGCGGAACGGCCCGCCCCCTGGTCTCGGGGGAGACCCGGGAGGAGCGACGCGAGAAGCGGGCGCGGGTATTGCCCCCGTTCCAACCGAGAGAGACCAGCGACCAGCTTTCCATGTTGGAGTCGCACGCTGTCACGGAGCGGACGCTGGCGCTCTACGAGAG